AGCTCCTTTAGGGCGGGACTGCTTCCTTTCATTTTTTGTCTTTGTATTCCCAGTACCTCATATAACTGGAACATATCAAACCTTTAGTAAATGCTTACTGGACTGAATCGAAGTCATATAATGATATCCTAAATTAAATAGATACTTAAAATTATAGCATGGGACCTATAATTGAAAATAAAACGTTAGGTCTTAAAATACTAAGAAGTCCTTTTGAAAGCTCCTTCTTTAGAGTTCTGATTTCAAGTCCCTTATTTTTTAAAGCTTTGTCTTCTGATGCCATGAAAAAAAATAATGAAATCCAGGGCTGAAAAGTTTTCTTTCTTTTTTTTTAAAGTAAATTAGCATGTTATTGAAAATTGTTTAGAAATAAGAATAAAAGACATTTTGCGGTAAGGATTTTCTGTTACATGGTCAAATTCCTAGATACCAGTTTTGTAGACACCTCATTTTAAAAATTGCTATTTCTCTTGTGGGACTAACCCTACTCTTTTCTAATTGCTGTTTCTTTTTTTATCCCAGTCCTTTCATTATTCCAAATCCTAATTCTCTAAATCTTTACATTTCTTCTACCTATTTTTACCACCATTTTTATTTGATCTCTTTGGGATACAGACCTAGTAGTAATATTGTTGGATCAAAGGTTATGCACAACAAAAAGAGCTGTTATAAATATTTTTGTACACATAGATCCTTTTCCTCTTTTTATTTTTTTTTTGGGGGGGGTGGAAGAATGTCTTTGACCCAGGAATAGCAGTACTACATTGGTGTCCCAAAGTGATCAAAAAACAAATTTTTTTAAAGGAAAAGGATCTATATGTACAAAAACATTTATAGCTGCTCTTTTTACAGTGGCAAAGAACTGAAAATTGAAGAGATGCCCATCAATTGGAGGAATGGCTGAATAAGCTGCAGTTTATGATTGTGATGGAATGCTGTTGTGCTAGAAGAAATATAAGCAGGAGGATTTCAGAAAAACCTGGCAAGACTTATATGAACTGATGCAAAGTGAAGTGAGCAGAATCAGGAAAACATTGTACACAGTAACAGCAATGTTGAATGACAATCAACTGTGAATGACTTAGCTATTCTCAGCTATACAATGATCCAAGACAATTCCAAAGAACTTCTGATGAAAAATGCCATCCACATCCAGAGAAAGAACAGATGGAATCTGAATGCAGATTGAAGTATACTTTTTTAAACTTTCTTTATTTTTCTTGTTTTGTTGTTGTTATGTTTTTGTTTTTTGGTTTGTTTGGGTTTTTTTGGTCTGTGTTTTCTTTCACAACATGGCTAATATGGAAATATGTTTTGCATGACAGCACATGTCTAATCTATATCAAATTGCTTGCATTCTGAAGCAGCAAGGCACACAGAGAGGGAGGCAGGCAAAGAATTCAGAACTCAAAAAAAATTCTTTTAAAACAATTTTACATATTGTTTTTATATGTAATTAGAAAAAAACAAAATGGACACTTTTAAAACAAGGTAAAATTTTAAAAATAGTTAAAAAAAAAAAAAGATAATTGGGATCTTCGTGCTGCTCCTAAATAGCTGTGACCCAAGCAAGTCATTTAACTTCTCTAGGTCTTAGTTTCCTCATCCCCAAAGGAAATGGGCTTTTGGATATTAATGCGATCATGCTAAAGCAGTGATTCCTAATGTGTGAGCCACAATCCTGATACAATCTTTAAACATCTGAGCCCTTGAAATGAGCTAGACACTCTACAGAAACACATAACTATCAATATTATTCAGGTTATATTCTTACAGGGTTTTATACACATCAATAACAAAAAAGTTCACTTCCTATTATTTTTATATTTATTATTTGCTTTATAGCTTTAGATCCCTGGTAAACTTAAATAAAGGTAAGTCATAGAAGGATTTGGGGGAAATTAAAATCTAACCTTTGCCTCATCTTGGACATTTGAGTTGGAAGGCTGGGAAGGATTCCCAAATAATGTCTGTATTAGTACAAATAGAAGTTAATAGGATTTTGAGCTTAAAAGGTATTTAGAGACCATCTAATTTCTTCATTTTACAACTGAGAAAAGTTAGATCCAATAGTGTTAAAATGACTTTATCACTTATAAGCAATAAGTCATACAAGCAGGAAGAAGTAGCACCAGAAGTGGCACCCAGGGCTACGAATGGGAAGGGGGGAGACAGCACTCAGGTAGTTGGCTGCCTCCAAGCCCAACACCAAACTGCAATTCAGAAAAACAGTGGCTAAAAGCGGAACTAGTGAAGGAAAAAGGTCTGAGGCTCATGTACCTATATTTAGCACATAAACTATCTTCACCATCACGAAGATGAAGCAATAGGACTATCAGTCCCTTCTCCAAGCACTTAACAGGCCTTTTATGACTTCTTCCCATCTTTAAGGCTGCCCTTAAGGTTTATTTTAATGTACTCAATCACACTAAAAAATATAGACTGGGTAAAGGGACAGGGCCATAACCAGGCAGATTCGATTAGAGGAAGCATTTATTAAACTTACTACTTGCCAAGTGAAGCTAGGTGGCATAATGGATAGAGAGCCAGGGTTGGAGTCAAGACTTACTTTCCTGAGTTAAAATCTGGCCTCAGACACTAACTAGCTGTGTGAGCAAGACACTTAAACCTGTTTGCCTCAGTTTCCTCATCTATAAAATGGGCTGAAGAAGGAAATGGCAAACCACTCTAGTACCTTTGCCAAAAAACCCCAAAATGGGGTTATAAAGAGTCAAACATGACTGAAACAAGTGAACAACAAAAAATACTTGCCAGGCACATGGTAAACTTTGGGAATACAAATACAAGCAAAGTTAAAGTCGTTACCCTCAAAATATTTACATTCTAATAGGGAAGACGGGAGTGCACTACAATATATAAAATGGAGCTGAAGAGGGGGAACAGAAGAAGAAGGTAAGAGCTATATGCAAGCAAGATTAGGAGTGAGCATGACTGATGTGGGTTTTTCCTTAAGTGAAGATTCCAAGAAAGAACTCACCAATCAGAGGAAGAAACAGGAGTACAGGCATCTCTGGAGTAATGCAGAGTAGGTCTTTGCTGACAAATTTATTAAGTGCTTAATTTAGTGGGCTCCTCCCAAAAACTAACACTCCCAAACCCAAGTAGGTATAGCTTACAGGACCACTCCAGGAAGGTGGTACAAGGAAATGTTACAGCACAAACTACTTTTCTATTCCCTGGCAAACGAAGTTGCCAATTATGGGCTAACTCTGAAGTAATCTGGAGGCTGCCAACACCCTTTACCTGGGTCTTGAGAAATTGTAGACAGGCATTTCCTCTTCCCAATATCTTGAGTATCTCTGAAACAACTTAAGGCAAGGGGGAGGAGGAGTGGCTAAAGAATGGGAAAGGTAAACAGCCCCCAAATTATTAAACCATCATGCTGGTGTCATATTAGGTAACTGGACATGGCAGGGGGGTGGGAAACCTTGACACTACCAAGTACAGGGTTTAAGAGGTATCCTGCCTGAATTACCCTAGCTAGGGATCACCCTTGAAATGGATGGGAGACTAGGACTAGAACACTTAAGGCATCTCATACCTAACTGCCATGGGGCAGTGGATGACAAAGCATTTTACTAATATTGGAGGATCTACAGTCATACCCTCCCACCTTGTTAGCATACCTGGGAATGCATATTGGCACAGGCAGGTATGTATATATGAAAGAGACTCCTCTTTCTGCCACTTCCTACCCTCCCCCGACCCAGAAACACACACATAGAGGGAGTAAGACTACTCAGCCAACCTTCATTTGAGTTGGAAACACCACTGCCATGACATTCCCCTCTGACTGCCTTCAAGTCTGAGCTTCAGCAGATCACTGACATCCCTTTCCAGGGGCCAGAAAACTATTGAAGAGAAACTCCCTTTAACAATGCATATCACCAACTATTCTGCCACTTTCAGACTTAGGCACTGACCTGACAGGGTTATACTGTCAGAGGTGGGATATGAAGCCAAATCTTCCTGACTCTAAGGCTAGCTAGCCCTCTATCCATTATACTAAGGGTATCAAACTCATAGTCCGCAGGCTGCACACAGCCTGCAAAACTCTCCATGCCCAGGGCAGGAATTTGATTAAAATGTAATCGGGAAATGTTTAACAAAATAAAAAAAATACCATACAACATAGTGTTAATTTGTGGTTTTCTAATTCAATATGTAGCCAGCAAGAATCTGTTTATAACTGAATTTGACATTATTGCACTACCCCATGCAGGCTCTTGGCACCCAATTAGCAAGAATACTTAGTAAAAATAGGAAGTTACTAGATGGTCTACAGATAGGTAGGGAAGAGTAAAAGGGGACATACCCCAGACCTTAGGTATCTTATGGTTTCTTTTCTCTTTCCCTACTCCCCACCATTATGGCACCCTTCCTGCCTCTTGCACCAGATACAAAAATTCCTAATTATGACTCTGGAAAAGAGGCTTGGACTCATCCTAGCCAGAACCCTAAGTATTGTTGTATATCTAGATGATACCTTCATTTTGAGAAAATCCATTAGTCAAACAAGAAGGAACATGACATAATGGGTGTGGGTGGGTGGAGGTGTGTGTATGTGTGTGTGTGTGTGTGTGTGTCTTTGGAGTCAGGAAGACCTAGTTTCAAATACCGCCCCTGAAATATACTATTCCTATGACCATGGACAAATCCTTAAACCACCCCATCACTCCACCCCCCCCCACCCCAGGCAGCTCTCTAAGACTAAACTACAGATACATTGTTGATCTGCATCAGTTTAAGTAGTTCCCAAGCAGGGAGTTCCACAAAATGATGAAATTACACATCTAGAGCAAAAGAAAATATAACAGCCAAACATCTTTTTGAAGACTATATAAAAGTGTAGAAAGATTGATTAAAATAACAACCAAGGCACACAGAAAAGTTAATAAATGCAACTCCCTTATTAACTTTGCCTACTTAAAGCATAGCCCAAATTCACCTAAAATGTAGTTGGATCATTAGATACTTACACAGATCTGCCTTCCACATCTAGTTTACCAGGATTGATTCCCTTTTTAGCAAGGACAGAGGACACTTTTTCTACATCTCCCCTTTCAGCTGCTTTCATTAGTCGGTCATCATATTTGTTCCAATCTGTTGCTTGCTACAAAAATGAAAAATAAAAGTTAGTATATGGCACGTTAGCAATGAGAAAATTTTCACAGGACACAAGGAAAGTGAGACAGCAGTACAGATATACCACCTATACCACCTGAACTAAGATTCCCTTTGATTTAACATTGTTAAGATATGGTAAATCCAAGGCTGGGAATCATGAGAGACCTGGATTTGATTCCACCTCTGACGTTTGCTTTGTGACCATGGAAAAACCACCGAATTTCTCTGAGTCACACCTTTATTCCTTTGTAAAATAAGAATATTATGGCCCGTGGCACCTACCTCACAGAGTTATAAGTATCAAATGAGATCATGTATATAAAGGGATTTCCCTTATGTAAAATGCTTTACAAATATCAGATATTTATAATTCTCCATGATGTTCACCTCCACTAATTACTACCAATTCTAGTTCTACTCAGTTCTCTTCCTAATGTTATTTTGTCTAAAGTCACGATTTTTTGGAACCAAATGATCACGTTAGGTAATGTATTCTGGTACAGTATATTGAATTAAATTTCCCAAGCACATCAAATATGCACCATTTTCTATATGTTTTTGTATGAACATTTCTATGCTATCAGTAAGTTGAAAAGTTCACTGGGACTACAAATAATAAAAGCCTATTCCTATTAGACAAATGATATTACACTAAAAAGTCTTTAATTTGTAGGAACATAACATGTTTTTACATATTCTTTGCCAGTAACATAAAGAATGGCACTTAAAGCATTTGTAAATATCAACATATCTTCTCAAAGGAAAACAGCTTAGAAACATTAAAGTTTAAAGGAAATCACTAAACCCAAAAGATCTGGGTCAAACGCAACAAAATTCAGTAACACATTAAAGTTTTCAATTTTTTTTGTTTGTTACATAGTTTCAAAAATATTTGCAACAAGCAGCAGTGTACATTTCAAGATGGCATTTTTCTTATGATAAAAATCAAGGTAAATTAATAGTGCTCACAACAGTTACTCAAGCCATTTTATTTCATTTTTCTTTATGCATTAAGTTGACACAAATATGAATCCATTATATCTACATACTAAAAAAAAAAAATCAAAAGAATCCCACTTAGGCACATTAATTTTAAAAGGAGAACAAAGGAAAAGTTTTGTTATTTATAGAGAATTCCAGTAAAGGCTTGAGCCTCATATTTTCATTATTTAGTGACATTATTAGTTATGGTTGGAGAAAAACATTAAGATAATTATTCTTAAGTTAAACCTTTGATCTTTCACCATCAAATGGAACCTACCAGGAGATGGAACTATTCTCGACATGTTGGTCAAATCAGCCTTCTAAATTTTAATAAATGTAAACTATAACACTGCTACATGCCCCACTAAATACAGTGCTGTTTCTCTAATCCATCTAGATATTTTCCCCATCTCTAAACTTGATTAAGAACAGTTCCAATACAAGTAAAGCTGTTAGGTTCTTTAAAGATACAAATTAAATCCAGTAACCACAAATTCCTTAACACTGCACATTTACAGATAATAAAAAGACTTCTAGTTTCAGCTCATGAATCCACGAATTATTTCTCCAAAAATAAGCCCCAAGGAAGGGTAAACAGTAGGTTGAAGTTAGCTCCCTTCTTTCATAGTACCTAAATGCCCTCAAAGAGTAAGTATGGTTTTGCCCCCTACCAAAAAAAAAATCTGCTTTAAATAGGGAAGATTATTTTAACAAATTTAAACTAATAAATATCAACATTATAATAAAACTGCTTGGATATGAAGTAGGGGTTTCTAAATTATTAAGCAGGTTAATCAGAATTATTTTTCTAAATCAAAATGTAGCATTCTCCATTTACAACTGAATTTAGTACTAGGATATTATTTCATTATATCGATTTCTACTCATCAACTAAGTAAAATGTGAATTATTGGTAATGATTACAAAACAATTCATTTTTGGCAAGTGATTACTGTATTAAGTCTCTAGTACCTACACAAACACAAAAACTTTTGCTAGTAAGGCTATTATCAGCTAAATCAGATTGAAAACAATAAAACAAGCTAATAAGCATTCATAATGCAGTTATCAAATAAATTAGACAGGAAAATCTTACCAAGAAGCTTTTGTTACACTAAATCATAGGGATACCTACTCTGGTTTTAGAAGAACAGGAAAACCAACAGCTCATCATAAAGAAGACTTGGAACTCCTTGTTGCCAGCAGCAAACTACATACAAGGCATTAAGTTACAAACCTCAGTCATTCACACAAAACAAATACTCAGCCAAAACTTTTAACCAAAAGCTTGGAACCTTTGTTTATAATGTTTCCCATTCGACATTCATCTTGCTGCATTATATGCTTAGCTTGGATCCCTAACAATATTTTCTTCGTCCTCAGGATCTTCCTCTGACTTCATAACGCTTGAAAAATATCTTTCCCCTGACTCCGCTTGATTAAGAACAGGCCTAAGGCAGGTACCTTAACTCCTCCTCTTATTCTCTATTTGCTGCCTTTCAGGCAATCCCTTTCAGGAAGGAACTTGGTGGAAAATCCTACACACAACAAACTCTGCATCCAGCTGCTTTCAGTCAGCAACAAAGACACAGGAATGACCAGGCAGTAATGACCAGATCTGAATGACCCTGTTAACAGAATGTAGTCTGTCCCACAATGGTACAATTCTGTTTTGGATTCTACAGTACTTGACAGCTGAGCGCTAGAAAGAAATGGCTAAATACATACATGTGTATATATTTGTATATTGATATACATGTGCATTTTTTCCTGTAACACATTTTAGATACTAGTGGGAGCAAATAAGTCAAGCATATGTAAGAATTTGCTACTGAGTAATATGTCAAAACACCTCAAGTGGTAGCCTGAGTATCACACTTGTCTTCTAGATGTCAATATTATTTAAAAAAAAGAAAAGAAAAAGAACTCTTAGATTACATCATATACCACAATTAGCTTAAAATGGATATGTAACCTGAATATTAAAGGACACACTATAAAAAACTTTCAAAAGAACCTGATCAACTATTAAGAGAAATCTTAATTAAATAAGAGATAAAGATGATCACAACATAAAATAGAAAACTTCAATTTCAAAGTTGAAAAATTTTTTCATGAATACAACTCAATGCCACTAGGATAAGGGAAGGTGTTAATCGGGCAGGGGAATTTTTGAATCAAATATCTGACCAGGATCTGCTATCCAAGATATCTTACATAAACTCAACACATTTTATATATGTGGGGCAGCAAGGTGAAGCAGTGGACAGAATGCCAAACCTCAAATCAGGAAAACTTATCTTCCTGAGTTCAAATTTGGCCTCACACAGCTGTGCAAGCCACTTAACCCTGTTTGTCTCAGTTTTCTCATCTGTAAAATGAGCTGGAGAAGAAAATGGCAAACCACTCTTTACCAAGAATATCCCAAATGGGGTCATGAAGAGTTGGACGTGACTGAAAACAACAAAATTTTATAAATGTATACTGTTATGTATCACATATCTTATAAAAACTCAACATATATAGCTTATGTGTATGTGTTTTATTATATATACATACATACACACATAGGCAACTAACACACACACACACACACACACACACACACACACACACACACACACACACACACACACAGGCAACTAACACAAATACAGCAAGAGCCATTCCCCAATAAGTGGTTAACGGACATGAACAAACAGTTCTCAATCAACAAGTAATAAATACTTGATGACTGAACAGTTCTCAAAGGAAGAAATGTAAACTATAAACCATATGAAAATCAGTTCCAAATAATAAGAGAAATGTAAATCAAAACAACCTTAAGGTTTCACCCCACAGCCAGAAAATTGTCTTGAAGACAAAAGATGGAAATAGTCAGCTGAAGGGAATATCAAAGGACAGATACAGGAATACAATTTTGGTAAAACTGAATTGGTCCAAGTTTTCTGGAAAGCAGTTTGGAATTATGCTAACAAAGTGACTACAAAAGCCACACCCTTTAACTCAGAGATCTCTCTGACAGGCAAATGTCCCAAGGAGATCAAAGACAGAAAGCAAAGGTAACACTCAACAAAATACTTATCGCTGCACTTTTTGTAGTAGCAAAGAACTGGAAACAAAACAGATGGCCATAAACTGGGAAACAAATAGCTATACAAATCATGGTACATTAATGTATTATTGTATTATTTGTACTATATTATTATACCGTAAAAGAACAAATATGAAGAATATAGAGATGCATGGACACTTATAACTGATACAAAATCAAGTCAAATAAATAAGCATTTATTAAATGTTTAGCTCACTATATGCCAGGCACTGGCATATGGTAGAAATATTAACAGTCCCTGCCTTCAAGAAACCTATATTCTAATGGAGGAAAATGAAGTATAGTAATAATTCCACAAAGAAGTAGAAAAAACAAATATATCTCCTCTGTGATAGGAGGGTGATAATGTAGCAGTGACTGAACTGTCTTTTTTCTTTCTTTTTTTTACTTTCTTCTTTGAAATTATTTTATTCGATATTATTGATTTACTTCTTCATTGAAATGAAGGTGATATAAAAACAAAAGATATCAATATTTTTTAAAAGAAATGAATTCAGCTATTCCACAGAATGATGTTAACAATAAGTCCCAGTATGATGATCACATGTCTTTAAATTTACAGAGACCTAAAAACAAAGCATGAAGTTCTATTTTAACCAAAATGTGTCAGACTTTAATTTAGAAAAAACACATGCTTGCACTTCCAATTTTTTTCCCTTCCAAGTATGAATCTCATTCTGTATACAACCAGGTTTCAGCTTACTACTGCTGCCAGTCTGTCTCCCAACATGTTAAATGAGAAGAGCCAGAAGTACTGTCAAAACATTAAATAGAACTCATCACGATGAACAGTTTTAAACAAATAGGGTACTCTTTCAAGCAATTTAAATTTAACTTAGTACTCAAGCTCCACTTTTCTTGCCTTAGCTGATTATCACAACCCCTAA